AGGTAATTTCTTCTTAACTCCTGTATCAGCAACATTATAGCCCCAAAGTGAAAACAATTCAAATGTTCACCAACTAAATCAATGGATAAACAAAACATGATATATCCATACAATGGGGTGTCATTTGTCCATAGAAAGAAAAATGAAGTATTAATACATGCTACAACATGAATGGACTTTGAAAACATCACGGTGAGAAGCCAGACACAAAAATCCACATATTGTATGATTCCATTTAGTTGAAATGTCTAGAAATGAAAAATAGATAGAGATAGAAAGTAGATTACTGGTAACATAGGGAGGAATGCAAATATTGAAGAGTGAAGGCTAAGTGAAGCAGAGTTTCTTTTTGGGGTGATGAAAATGTTCTAAAATTGATTGTGGTGATGCATGCACAACACGTGAATATGCTCAAAGCTGTTGAGTGGTATACTTTCAGTGAGTGGATTGTATAGTAAATAAATTACGTTTCAATAAAAACTTTTTTAAAAAGAAAGTTTGTATAGCAGCTTTATTCATAATTGTCCAAATTAGAAGCAACAGAAATGTCTTTCAGTAGGTAAGTAAACTTTTTTTGTATATCCAAAAATGGAACATCATATGCCATTGAAAAGAAATAAACCGGCAAAACACAAAAAAGGAGGAAACCTAAATGTGTATTATTAAGTGAAAGAACACAATCTGAAAAGGCTGTATGATTCTAAGTGTATGACATTCGAAAATGGGCAAAACTATGAAGGCAGTAAAAACGGCAATGGTTGTCAGGGGCTAGTGAGGAGGGAGGGATGAAAAAAGAGCACAGAGGATTTTTAGGGCAGTGAACTATTCTATATGAGATTACAATAGTGGACACGTGTCATTATACATTTATCAAAACCCACAGAATGTGCAACATCAAGAGTGACTGTTAATGTAAACTATGGACTTTGGGTAATAGTGACGTGTAGTTATATGTTCATCAATTGTAACAAATGCACCACTCTAGTATGGGATGTTGACAGTTGGGGAGGCTGTGCCTGTGTGGGGATAGACGGTATGTAGG